GGAATTGATTTAATATAACAGCCCAAATTCCTGACAGTAGAAAAACGTGAGACCAAAAAGGCGCAATGTTACTCTCCTGGTTCTCTAAGATGATTAAACGATAGCAGTTACGTTTTGAAGGCATTAATATTTAAAAGCCATTTCTTGCCCCAGTTAACAACTGATTGGAGGTCATTTTCGAGAGCAGCTGTCAGTTTCATTTTGTCGGACCTATCGGATTTACTATTAAGGCAGGAGTAAATAGTTGTGTCATCATTCATAAATACTTAGAAACTAATGACTAAATGACTGATGAAGAACAGAGCCGGCACTAGCTTCTTGCCACCCACAAACTTTGATACGTCCCCGCTCTACTACATGTCGATTTCAAAGTTTCCCAACCTGGGGTCCACACACCGTCGAAGGGAAATTAAAAATTACCCAAAATCAAGGAATTATCCAATTTAAATAAAAATTTCAGTACATATTCATTAATTATTTACTTTTATAATGAATAGTTTCTTTTTTAATTTTGAGAAAATATTATTCTTTTTGTAATAACCCCCAATATTTTCAGGACTACATTTTGCTCGAAAAAATGTTTGTCATTTTTACATTTCCATAAGGATTAATCAAAAAAAAGAAAAAAAAAAAAGAAGTTTTACTGCACAACACAAACGGGATTATCTTTAAAATTTGTTTTAAAAACAGTGTTTCAGTTTACGGGAAAATTTTTAGCATGTGTTGAAATCTTTATGCATTTTTATTTTTTAAGTGATCATTTTCTCGGTTTTATCTTTCTAGAAATTTAAAAAAATAGAGACTAGAAAAATTATTTTAATTACTAGTCGTGGACTTAACGGTTAGTATTACTATTATTAGTAAAAAAAACAAAAGAACAATCCTTATTGGACGATCGATCTCAGAATAAAAAAAAATGATTTTACCGAGATATATTTCCCTCTTAATTGACTTAAAAGAACAGTTCAGAAAGAAAATTAAAATTTTTAAAAAATTGGGGGAGAAGTGCAAACAGTTAAGGGTGACTTGATGTTACTAAGGTGCGTAGCTTAGTACAATGAATTTTCATTTTGGAGGCTGGGGGGGGATTAATTTATCATTTAGCATACAAAAGATTTCCACTATTTTAAAAGCAGTTTAACGATTAAAATAACATATTTATTTAATAAAAATTTATTAAAATAAATATTTTATTCAATAAAAATGCAATATTGTGTTTTGCATATCTTGTCTAAGTTTTTGTATAATCCAGTTTCCAGCTTGACCTGCGTTTCCAGCTTGACCTGCGTTTCCAAAATCACAAGGCCAAAACGCTTCAAAAAGATGGAATTTCGCATCTATCTTCTATATATATAATTCTGTGACATCTGTTAGCAGAGCCGATGCTAGGGTCTCGCCTCAACCAACTCGATTTAAAAGTTTCCCAACCTGGGGGGGGGGGGAGCTAGGGCACAAGACCTCGAAAGAAAATTAGGCGAGGGTGTGCAGCGCTTTTTTAAATTGCCAAAAATCAGGTAATTATCCAATTTAAATAAAAATTTCAGTGCATCTTCATTAATTATTTACTTTTATAATGAATAGTTTTTTATTTTAAAAAATCTGAGAAAATGTGATTATTTTTTGTAATAACCACAAATATTTTCATGACGAAATTTTACTCGAAAAAAATGTTTAAGTCGCAAATTTTCATATTTCCATAATAATTAAATCACCGACGCATCTCTGCTGAAAAAGATTTACAAAGATTCCAACACAACACAAACGGGATTGTCTTAAAAATTTATTTAAAAACAGTATTTCATTTTTCGTGAGAATTTTTCATGTGTTGCAGTATAAATCACAGGCGGGCTCCGTGGGTGTGGAATAAACACAAAATGCACCTGAGCAAGCGTCTGCAGTAGGGATTGGCTCGCCGCCCTAGTAGACGGGTATCTTTGAATACGAGTGGCCAGCTATTACTTAACTAGTACGGACTGTTGTGTTTCTCTTCAAAAGCTGCCGCCCTGTTCCTTTAAGTACACGAAGACTTAGCACTGACTATTCAAAAACATGTGGTTGTATCTTGACTAGAAATTTCATTTAATTACTATTCGTGGACTTCTGGTTAATCTATTAATAAAAAAAATAAACAAAATAAAATAAAATAAAACAGAGATCCTACTTAGTGGATAATGTCTGAATAAAAAAATGATTTTACCGAAATATATTACCATCTTAATTGATTTAAAACAACTGTTCAGAAAGAAAATTACAATTTAAAAAAAAAAAAACTGAAATTAGTACTTCAGCCCCCCCCTCCCAGTAGGCATGGAGTCCCCACGCGGTTTAGAGGTTCTGTGTAGTAAGCACCAGCCCTGTCGTTTATTATAGTTGATGACTGACAATATAACTTAGGTAGAAAAAACAAAAACAAAAAAAAAAAACAAACTGAAACTAGCACTTTTGGGGCTTTAACCTCGTCGGGGCTTCCTGCGTAGTACGCACTGCACCAGCCATGCAGATATACGATTAGTTGATGACTGACAATGTAAAGTCAGTTTAAAAATAATTTAAAAAATGGCGGATGGCCATAAAACAGCGCTGAAAATATGACTACGGTGAAGGCAAGAATCGATGTAGGTCCAAGGATAGAATCATGGGGGACCTCCGTATTAATGTGAAATATCTAAAAGCGTGTCCAATCAGCACAAATTTCATTACTTGATTTGTAAAGAGCCATTGGATAAAGTCAAATATCCAGCCAGTGACATTGTAGATCTTGGGCTTATGGAGAAGTTCAGCATGCCAAACCCTGTCAAACGCCTTCAAGATATCTAAAGCCACATCCCCAGCCTCAGTGTGCTCTCTCCATCGCAGATGAGTGATCAACAGCATTTTCCCAGGAGAATTTTGTCGACACAGACTCCACGTGTTGTGCCATTTATTATTACAATTAAAGCTTCTGCATGTGAGAAATCGAGACTTTGTTATTTTGGGGTAGTGACATGAAGACACCCGATGCGGATCGTTATAAAGCGATGGTTGTAGTTCAACAAACACCATTTTAAGCCACAGAGGATGTAGTGACAATGCAATACACAATTGTGGAATAGGGGACGAGAGGCTTGGCAAAGGAACAAACGTTGCTAAGATAAGAAGTTGTGGAGAGCCATGTTCGTTCACGTCCTGAAAGGACACGGTGCAAATAAGAAGATGCGAACTATAAATTGGAGAAGACAATGCCGATCAAATACAGAAGTTTAAATATTTGGGGAGTGTTGAAACAGACATGCGATATCGAAATCCGAATACATTTTATTTTAACAGGAAAAGATGCCTTCCAAAAGCTAAGCGAAGTACTAAGAAACAAGAAATTTTCGTTAGAAACAAAGAAAAGAAGGGATGGTGAATGCTCCTCACAGATGAAGAGAAAACAGGGAGGCAACGGAACTGTGGTTCTACTGGAGGATGCTGAGAACACCTTAGAAGGCGTGCGTAACCAACGAAGAATTCTTAATGAAAATAGAAATAAAAAGGACACTCAGAATAAGAAAGAGATAGCTTAAAATTCTTGGACAGAATGAGGACGGAGGGCTTGAAGAATTTGACACTCACATGACTTATTGAAGGCAAGTAAGACAGGAGAAGGTCGCGGGCCACGTATTTAGTGAGCTTGTGTGAATGAATGGATGGCGGGATAGGGGATGAGAGGCTTGGCAAAGGAACAAACGTTGCTAAGAGTTTACAAGGAATAAGAAGTTGTGGAGAGCCATATTCGCCCACGTCCTGAAAGGACACGGTGCAAACGAGAAGATGGATATTTTTCGATGAATAATAACAATTTTTTAAGCGTACAATAAAAATTGTCTTTTACTCGGTATGAAATTGAAACAGAAACAAATTGTTTATTTGCAATAATATGTGAAACAGAAATATGGCGAGTCCTCAAACAAAATATTCTTTTAAGCGCCTAAAGAAATTAAGCGAGCAAGGGAAAAAAAGAAAATGGGGATAGATAGATCGATAGAAAAGGAGTGAGATAGATAGATAGATAGATAGATAGATAGATAGATAGATAGATAGATAGATAGATAGAAAGAAAAGGAGATAGATAGATAGATAGATAGATAGATAGATAGAAAAGGAGTGAGAGATAGATAGATAGAAAATGAGTGAGAGATAGATAGATAGAAAGAAAAAGAGTGAGATAGATAGATAGATAGATAGATAGATAGATAGATAGATAGATAGATAGATAGATAGATAAGGAGTGAGATACATAGATAGAAAGAAAGAAAGAAAAGGAGTGAGATAGATAAATAGATAGATAGATAGAAAGAAAGAAAAGGAGTGAGATAGATAGATAGATAGATAGATAGATAGATAGAAAGAAAGAAAGAAAGAAAAGGAGTGAGATAGATAGATAGATAGAAGGTGAGACAAACGTGAGGCAAAAAGACAAGCAAAGAGATTCACGCTTCACAGTCTGTCTCTGGTTTTCTAGCTTCTTTTCATTTTTGTTTGTTTGTTGCTATCTTTTCCTTCCTGTTCGCCATTTATGTTCATTTCTTATATTTCTGTCCGTCTTCCTCTTTCACGTGTTATTTTTATTCCACCCACTCTCTAAAAGTGAACCCAGTTAGAAAGCCAACGAGTCTATCTTGTTAGTACTGCTCCGAAAAAAAAAATCAGCAGGCAGGCAGGCGAGTCTTAAAAGTTTTAGAAAAACTTCGCTTGCTCTGAACAAAACCTGTGTTGAGCTTACACACTTCTCATAATTGTAGTAGGCGCTGCGGGCGACGGATCGCAACTTTCTGAACGTTAGTTGTGTATCATTTATATCGAATCCCAGCAGTAAAGGAATTTGGATCCTTATTTCGGATTCATTTCTTAAATCGTTGTTTTAAAAAAAATAATAATTGATTATTTAAATATTTAAAAAGAATATACCAAACGAACTTTATTTCAACATGGGTGATCGAAAACTTCTCTGGATTCTACTTGGGCTCAGCCTTCTAATCATGGTGTCGGCAAGATCAACCGACGAAGAAGAAGAAGACTTTGAGGAGGTAGAGGAAGAAGAAGAAGATGATGATGATTACGGATGCGACCCAGCCTGTGAGAGAAACTGTCTTAAGCTCAAATGTCAGGCAGGTACTGTCCGGGATTCTTGTGGTTGTTGCACGTGCGCCCAAATGGAAGGTGAGTATTGTAATTTCAGATCGAGAGACAAGCGAAGAGGTCGCAGAGACGTAGTGAACCTAAAAAAAAGTCGACTTCTGTCCTCGTTTTTCTCACTAACACCTCCATATACCTTTGTTGCCCCAACCACTTCGTTTACTAACCCTGCTTTTGTTGAGGATGTTAATGCCGCTTCTTCTTCGCCTACGATCGCCGATTTCTATGCTTCGACAGTAGGTGTAGATAGTTTTGCTATTAAGAACCAGGACAGAAAGAAGAACAAACAAAAAACAGCCCCAAACCTGCCGACAAAACACACGGGGGGAATATATAGTAGAGATTCGAACCATTACTTGGGTAGGAAAAAAAATTCTTTCGACGATAAAACTGTTTATGGAACTTGTGGGGATTATCTTGAATGCAAGCCTTTATTCACCCTACCTGATGGTGGGGAAGAAGGAAACGAAAACGACGAATCATTTAGTGTTGTTGAAAATCCGAAATTAAAGCCATTTTATCAGGAGGCTAAAAAAACTACAACAAAGGGGAAAACAGCTCAATTAATCGAAGAATGGAAGAAGAAGAAAGGCTTTAATTTCGATGCTAATTGGGATCGCGATGGTGGCGGGTCAGAATTTAATAAAAATAAATTGCAACAGTCGAACAACTATGGAAATTCAGACGATGACAAGAGTTCCTTACGTCAGGAGGTTGATATTAATTTTGATGACTATTTTTTCAGTCTTTTTTCTTCTCCTTCATCGCCTTTTCTCCCGTCGTCTTCCCCAACGAATAAGATCGATAATTTCCCACGGTCACCCGTTGTGGGTACCTGTGTATGTCGGTATGCAGTAACCGTGTGTGCGAGCAATGGGCAAACGTATAAAAATATTTGTCACCTAAGATCTGAATCTGGGCTCGGGGAGGGATCGAACCCTGATGTGCACGTCATTAAAGAGGGGCCGTGCGACCCGCCAGTTACAGGTGAGTAAGTAAGTAGTGAAGACAAATAGAGAAATTTGTCAGATATTTAGAAGATAGTTTTATTTATTTTTGTAGTTTTTAGATTAGTTAACCTCGTTGTTGTACGAAGTCGCCGGTTACCGAACACTTACGCTCTAGTAATACGTTTTTACTCTTTTTTTTTTTTTTAACGGGAGGCGTAAAAGACTAAATGTGAGAAAACTGAAATCTATCCTTTTCGGGGTTTTTTTTTTTTTTTTTTTTTTTTTGGGTTCGAAAATTTTTTGCCATAACTTTTTCTTAACCGATTGTTTTACCGGGGTTGCTTTTTTTACTTAGCTATTTATTCCGAGCACACGTATTCACCCATAATTGATTTATTTTCTGTTCCTAAAGAGAACAACAACAACAAAAAAAATTATAAATTCCAAGTCTTATCGATTGCAGTTATTAAAAAAAAAAAGTAAAAATATAATTATAATTTATGGGAAAATGTGTTTCAGAGTATGAGGTTAGGTAAAAAACAATTTAAGGAAAATATTTGGTATGCGAAAAAATGTTTCGGACGTTTAAAAAAAAAAATGGAATCTATTTTAAACTTTGAAAAACTTTGGATGAATAAATAAATAGTTATTTTTAAACTTCCCATACCATTTCCTTCAAATCGATTAATGGAAATTTAGAATTTTTAATTTAACTTGGTTAATTCAAATTGTAAATCTGTTTTTTCTCTTTTAAATAAAACCCTAGTTTATTCACGCATTAAAATAAAAACCAGCTTTTGTTGTTAAAACTGGATGGACGCAAAATGTCTATCTTCGTGGCTGAGAAATACGGGGTGTCCACAATGTCTTTTTTCAAAAATATATTACGAAAAAAAACCCCAAAAAACCTTAGAGGTGGCAACTAAATCTTTGTTGCATATGTTATTAAAGTTTTTTTTTTTTTTTTTTTTTATTAACGATGTTGTTTCTTCATTCATCAATGTATTGTAAAATTACTTATCGTAAATGTTAATAATGCACTCCACCAAAATTATAAATTTTAAATCAATAGTTTTTTTTTTTTTTTTTTTTTGACACTAGTTTTGAACTGATAAATCAATTGGTTTAGCTTGCCTCGCAACAACTCCAACCTTTTAGAACCAAAAATGACCAAAAATCAGGGAATTATTCACATTTCGTAAGTGAATAATTAATTCATCGTCGAAGTAGTTACAAAGAAATTTTTTTTTACAATTTTTAAAAATGTTTTTTGCTTGTTTGTCGGGGTGGTTGCGAATGCGACCCCACACATAAAAAATAGCGCACCCGAGTCGTCCACATTTGGGGGCGATCGCAAAGGTCAACCCAACTGGAGTGCAATGGAAGGGCCTCACTCTGGGAGAACTTAGTGTGAATTTTAGTAAATTCTTTTTATTTTTTGGGTGAATTCAGACCACAATTAAAGAATTAAAAATTGGATATCGATTAGAGATGTCATTCGTAGAACGAGTGGAGGCTCATATAGAAATTTATTAACTCTCTAAATTTGTCTTCATAAAGTTTGTAAACATTTCAACTGGATCCAGTTTCTTCCGTTGTAATTTCAATTAATTTTTCTAATGACTTTGTGGACACCTTGTACGTTTCTCTGCTGTTGTCAGTGATTCGAGCTGTAAGTTAAAAAAGAAGAAAAAAAAAATGCTTATTTTCAAGGCAGGCAATTTCGTCTCACATGGAAAAATCACATACACTGAGTATGACAATATCGTTATGAACAAGATTTAAAGAGTAAAAAGTCATATAAATTTAAAAAATATTTTAAAAAGGAATAAGAAGTCGAAGGAATTTTTTTTCTCCAGTCAATGCGACCATAGATAGGCTTTTTAGCTGGAAACTCGTTTGGACAAAAAAAAAGTTGTAGGTCGGGTGGTAAATAAGACGTTAAAATGGGGTTTTAAGGATTCCTGATATATTATTTTTTTATCTGCTTCTCTCATAAAATGATTTTTTTCTTCAAATCTATCCTCCGTAAATATTTTTGTTCTTAATTTAAATTATTAAATACACTTTCCTTTTCTTTTTTGATGTTTTTGTACTTATTTTCTTGAGACCTATAAAAACTTTTTTCTGCACAAGACTTTCAGTTTTGGGTTAATGTTTTGTGTAAAAATAAATAAATAAATTTTTAATTTTGAAAATTAATGACTTCTGATTTTAGTTTAAAGACAAATGATACTGGTCAGCTCAATAGCATTGTCATAGAGATTGAGGCCAAGATGACTCTTCAGTTTAGTTTTCAGTTCCAGTAAAAAAGTGAAGTGGTTGAAGCGCTACCCTCCAGTCCTCTATAGCGCCGTGGATGGCAATGCGTCATTAGTTTTTTTAGTCCTCTTTTTTTTTTTTTCTTTTTTTTTTTTTTTAAGGTACCTCTAAAAAAGATTTGTTACATGATGGAAAAAAAATGTCAAAATTTAATAAAAACGAACTGTTATTGTCAAAAAACTTTGTGGTTTTAAGATTTAAAAAAAAAAAACTTTAAATGTAAAAAAATTATTTTTCGAAATTTTGATTAACTTTTGTTTCTGGCGTCAACGTCATGTTCTGGATATTTGAGCTGAGCATCTTTTTGCGGTGTAAAACCACTTGATTTGGAAAATTTTACAAAAATCACATACGGATTTTAAATCCTTTTATTTTGTTCTTTGTAAAACAGGACTACCAGATAAAGAAATCATAAAATAAAAGATGCAATAAGATTAAGAGATCATTTAATAAAAAAAGCTTTTAATTACTCTTAAGTAAAACTAAAAGTTTTTAAAACATAGATACTAATTGTCTTACGAATTTTTTTTTTTTTTTTTTTTTTTCGTTGAATAATTAATTTTTTTACAAGAATTGTTATATATAAATTATATATTATAAATTTATATATAAATTAGAATTTATAAAGTTTTAGATCTTTTTAAAATTCTGTATTAATTTGTAGCCGTCATGTGATATTAAATAAAAACTGTATTTACTAATCATAAATGGAAAATCTTGCTATCATTCGGCGACTATTTATTCCCTCTATTTTACAAATTTTAAATTTTGTGTGTGTATAAAAAACGTGTCGAGTTTTACGGACGTCCGTACACGATATCATCAGAAAATAAAAGCGGTTACTACAAACATTTTCTCAAGAGTTTTCGTGAGTAAGAAGCCTATAAGGCCAAAGTACCTAAAATTTAATTAATATAATGCTTAAGATTACTAGGTAGTTTTAAAAAAAAAAAGCTAAAAAGGCGTTTACGTTGTATTCGTCATGTAATTTTATTACAATTATCAGAATTATCTCCTTACATAAATTTTCAAAACGTCAGTAAAAACACCAACCTCCGTGTTATTTTATTTTTATTTTTTAAAGAAGCTTTTCTGCGATAATTTTTTAAAATTTTAAATTAATAAAAGTATGTACTATTTGTTTCAATTCAGATCAATTTAAAATTAAATCCGTTAATTTTTCTCATAACATTTCAGAAAAATATTTTATCTTTTTAAATCATTTTTTTTAATAAATAAATTTATGTTGTGTTGACAGATTTGTCAATATGGACGATTTACCGATATTGAAAAAATAATCCCAGTCAATTTAAATTCGGTTTTAAATACAGCAAAGTATTTTTTTTGCCTATTTGAAATATTAACTTTGAATTAAAACTAAAATAAAAGCTTAAATGTTTCATTTTTAAATATGGTATTGCTTTTTTGTTGTTTTAGGGGGGGTACCTAATTTAATGCAATTGACGAATCATGCTAACGACATTATGCCAAACTGAAGAAAAACGATCGCCTTGATTACGCCAATTCTTCGAATGTGAAAGATCTGTTTGCCTTGAAAATCAGTATCGTCATGCTTTTTAATGGGGCTCGAACCCAACTAGTAAAGCAAGTGTTAAGAAAAACATTCATTGGATTTTCTTACTACGATTTAAAAAAATAAATAAATAAACTCGTCTCACAGATCATAGATGCCCCCCTACAATTGGCCTTGTGCCATGCTCATGAATTAGAACCTTTTTCACAATCTGTATCCGTTGTATTTTTTCTACATTTCCTCATTGTCCCTACCTCCTAAAAGAACGAAATATACCTGCGTAGTCATGCGGAAAAATGGGGGTTTATTAAATAAAGTAAAAAAGCTAAAAACAGATTTTTTTTTTTTCTCTCAAAAATATATACCTGGCAAACTTGTGTTTGCTTGTCAGGACAATCTAGTTTTCCAGTATGCGAAACTTTTTGACTAAATTAATTTTGATACTTATGGGTTATTTGTCGGCATTTTAAATTTTCAAATACAGATGTGTGTGTTAAAAAAAAAAAAAAACTATCCCAAAGATTCATTTAGCAGCAGTCTAAAAAAAGGAAAGAATAATTAAAAAAACAAAATATTTTAAACCCCACATTAATCTTTTTATAAAAGATTAATTACCAATAAACAAGTTAAAAGGTGGCGACAGGCAAGCCACAAGACAAGATGCACCTTCATTTTTTTCCGCATGAGAACTTTGCTATGGAAAAGTGTTATCGAATAATTTACCCCAGTTTAAACACCACTTTTTTTTTTTTTTTTTTTTTTTTCTAAAGCGTTAGCATTTTTTGGTAACCCCTGACTTTTTCTAAAGTAGTTGGACTTTTTAGAAATTTGTTTCTTAGTTTTTGTTTTCCTTTTTCGTTAAAAAAAAAAAAAGAAGTATTTTATTGAAAGGTGTCAAAAGAAAAAAAAATTATAAAGTTTTTTTAAGTGCAGAAAGCAAAATAAATCAGATTCTCTGAAATAAAAAAAAAAATCTAAGAATTAATTAGTAACATTTTTAAAACAAGCAAATGAACAAATCCACTTATGGTTTATTAGTCACTTCAAGTCATTTCCTTTCCCTCTTACGAGCGAGTA